GGAAATTCAGAAAAAAGGCTCCCTTTATTTCGCCTGGGGGCGTCTTAAAATAGTAAGACCGTCTAGACGTGGCCGTAAACGTTAAAAGGGTGGAGTGGATACTGCGCGGAGAACACGTTCGAGGCAGTAGCTCCCGGCTGCGTACAGAGCTAGAGGGCATAAAACGCTATGCAAATGAGTTTCCAAAGGGCAGATCGGTCGTCCCGCCGGTTTCCATCAAGTTCATAAATTTCCGCTAGGAACTGGCCGCGCGTTTTCGTGCGAGGTGAAAGATAACGTTTCATGACCTTTTTAATGCCATTTCGGCATTAAACTTAGAAAGCTTAATAATCTATTCGACGGTTTTGTTTCTTTTTGGTGCCAAGAAGAAGGTTGTGAAGTGATATTTCTTTGAAAAATATGTAACGATAAAAGTTTTCAGTTTTTACAAGTAAAATTTAATGTTTACAAATATTTTTTCATTAACATTTCTTTACAGTCGTGATTATTTTAATTTTGACTGGAATAAAAGATTTGACGTGCATTGAATAGGGGCAATATTCTCCTTTGTCTGTTTTCTGGTGAAATTCGATCGTACAATTTCTATGGTCCATTTTTATCTTCTTGACGTAACAAGATGAACCAAGCATCACTAAAATCAACATATTAACATTTAAGAATAGGGAGAATTTTGCTTTTTTATGGTGTGGACTGTGTTGTTACTGCAACAAGTCCTCAATTTGAATTATGAACTCAATGTGGTTAGAGGAAGAGAAAACGGGAAAATCTCGAGAAAACGTCCCGTGAACCCGCTTTGTTTGCACAAATCCGATACAGACCGACCAAGATTTGAACCCACACCCCCAGAGGTGGACTGTGTACAGTCTGACCTCCAAACTACGCCTCGTCACACACAGAAAAAATGACAAAATCTGTATGCAGTAGAACATTGGATTGCAGGCGTAATCCATTGTATAAACGTGCTTGTGAACCTAAACACTTGTATGTCAAGTGAATTTTCCCGTAAGAAATCATTGAAACGAAGATGATTCGTTCTCAACACTAAATCCATTCCTATCCGACGATTAATAAAACAAACACTTGAGGTCTTGTACTCAGTAAATATGTAGAGTCCTTTGCTGAATATGTAAAGTTGGACTACCCAATAACAATGAAACGAAGGAGGCACGCCCACTGCAGTTCAGTGGCATTTGTACACTTCCGCTGCGATGGAGGATGGAGGACCACACAGGCTCAATTGCGAATACGAGACTCTCCACATGTCTACTGCTATGCTTGCATCGCTCATTTATTTACTTTTCAAATTTTAGATCGTCTTGTTGGACCCTCACAGAATGAGTCACTCTCAATGCAAGATTCCTCTCTATACAAACTCTGCCTTCGCAGTACCAATTCTTTTTTAACTTATTTATTCTCGGACGATTTAGAATGAAGTGAGCTCATTAGCGATGTCTATTATTTTATGCATAAGGAACAACAATAAAAGAATTACAATAAGTACATAATTATTTAAAATAATTTTTATCTATATTTCAGCTATTTTTTAAGCTAGTAATTTTGATATATTTTAACCTTCATTTACAGCCTTGAATTCAAGATTTCATACACGTAGTGTGTAAGCGAAGAGTTTGTCTTATATTTTGGACACGAGAACATTTTGGGGTAATATGGCCTGTAGTCCTTCACATTTTGGACAGGTATTCGGGTTAGTTTCTTTATTTGAAGGCAGTGAGTAAAATATAAGTGCACACTTCTTAAACTTGTTGTATCACTTGTTTCCTTCTTCCTACGCGAAAATTGGAAATTGTTAAATATATTTCTGATTTTCTTACGAGGTGGAGTTTCGGTAGTAAAGCCTTCCACTCTCGATTATGTAGCTTATGTGCTTTTTAAGGTATTTTCGAAATAATTTTAATCAACTATTATATTTTGATGGACATTTCGGAGAGGAGTTGCAATGGTGGCGGTGGCCTCGCTTCCCTTCCGGAAGTGGCCCTTATGCGCATGGCCGCCTCTCCGAGCGCGCGCGGGGGGGGGGGGGGCGGGAGGAACGCGGCTGTCGGGGCCGCTCCGCGGGCGAGTCGCAACCGGGCGCGGCCCTGGGACGGCCGTGCGTGCCGCGCGTGCCACGCCCGGGCCCTCCCTGCGGACCCCCGCCGCCCTTCCGCGTGCCTCGCAATGGTAGCTCATTAGCAGATGTCTGCAACAGATCGCATTCAGATGGCTGTTGCCACAGGGAGGGGCATAATTAGGTATTGTTTTTATTACCAAAAATAAACGTATTTATTTTAGAAAATAGATGTATGAAGTCACAATGGGATGATATGCATTTTGTAATTAAGTGCAATGTCTCAAGTGCTCAATGCTCTAAGAGCTCAGTATTAGCTCAAGCTCTCCTTTACGATTTCTTTGGGCTTTGAATGAATGAGCAACTACCATTTCGTTTTCATGCGTAGTACCACTCATTGGCGGACTACTCATTGGTGCATTACAAATGGACCGAGTTTGATAATATTTGTTGAGCAACCTGTAAATTGATAGGCTACTTCATGAATATTAATTGAATTCTTCTATATCCGTCGAACCTGTTCAGTATTCTTTGTCTTCCAATTGTTTACTTCTTTTGGTCATTGCTTAAATTAGCATCCATGATTATCTGAATATCTGAAAGAAAAGAAAAACGGTCGTAGAACAGACAAAAATACATTATACGTTCTGCATATCTACTTATAAACCCCTCTGTATAAGTCTCGATGTAAAAATTATATACATCAGGTATCAGAATCATCACCTCATTAAAAAAAATTCACATACATTACCTGTTTATTTCCAGTGTTTCTTCAACACCTTTCCAGAGAATATTAAGAGGTTAAAATTGATACACAAGTTTAAGAACAAAATCTTTTCTCCTGCATAACTGTTTCTCTACAAATAGACTACACTAAGCAACAACTAGTGGCTGGCAACTACAAAAGTACATACTTTTCATACATACATAAACCTTGTGATATCATGTGTCGTCCAATACTTTTTGTAATACAAATCATGTATTCTCCAATATAAATGTAGTGCCTTGACAGAACTCTATATTTAAATCAGAGTACAAGAAATACCTTGCTTGGAGTTTCATATATTTAGTTTGCTGTATTTAGCGACAACTCATCTGTTTCGATTGTGATTAACAGACTGCAGACTGTTAAATTCTTAAAGAACGCCGGTCTTTAAGAGTGGCTTTTCGCTCATTTAGTTGGTTGCGTTAAGAACACATAACAGTACAGTGTTACGAAAAATAAATAGCCGTATAATGAGATGACTGGCTCTCATTAATAATAAGCAATAATTCTTCCCCAGGGCTCTTTCCAGCGGACAGCCGGTTACCGTCTTACGCCCCGATGGGAAGCACATTCGACCAAACACTAGACACCAACACACTGACGGGCTCCTCTGATCTGGGATCACCGGAACGCGACAACACATACGTGAGAGACAAGGGACAAACGAACAACAGTGCCGAAGGCGGGTCGCGAGCCATCGAAGTGACGCACTGCGTCAGTACACGCTCTTAGCCTCCTCGGCCACCCCGGTCGGAAATAATGTGCAATGACATGGCGGTCTCTCATTCCACCATCATTGTATTGCAGAAGCCCTGCGCCTCAGCTGCAAGTAATTCCTCCGCGTCGTCTGCCGGAGACACACACGCACGCGCGCCATCGCGTAATGGGCGCGTCCTTTGTGTGGTGGACACCGCTCGCCTGGAGGTCTCCGGTTCGACCCCAGCTGCGGGCGGCGGCGCCCGGCTTTTGAGGTTCCGCAGCCGGCAGCCGCCCCGCCCACGCGCGCCCTTTGATCCACCCGATAGCTCGCCTCCCGATATCCGTCGGCCGCCGGGGAGTCGTCGGTTCTTGGGGCAGAAGCAGGGTCTTGGCTGCGGGACGTGGGATGCAATAGGATTTCGCTTGTGTGCGGCGCCCTCGCCGGCTGCTTTGCGTAGGACGCCCCGCCTTTGCGGGAGAATTAGTGCCAGGCGAGTGGGCGATTGACGGAAATTCGCAGGCTCGCCGCGCGGGTGGCCGCGAGACAAATTAGGCTGTGTTCAACGGCTAATCTCACCTCGTTACAATACCAAATGATTTAGCGCAGAGCTGCGGTACCTGCTGTCTCTGCAGGGGCTCCTACCGGAAGGGCCTGCGGTTTGAGTCTCCATCGAGGCGGATTTCAGTCATTAGGTATAAAGCGAATTCAGCCGCTTTCTGAGGAATTCTCGCTGCCGGCTGCCAGTTTTAGTCTCGCGTCTAATCGAATGATTCGAAAGAGTTGCTAGTAGAGCAGCACTACCGCGGTAAGTGCGCTGCAGTCCCTCTACCGCTCGCCCTTCACATTGCAAAACGTAAGATAATGAAATTCCCCATGAAATAAACGCACGTATGGTTGAAAACCGAAAGACATAATACCGAGTTATAGAGACATACTACTCGTGTTTGATTGACAAGCTATTTGATATTGTCACATACAGCAATTTTTTAGAAATAAGTAATCTTTCTAACAAAGTAGTTCATGAACGTTTTGAATATGGAGCGGTCTTCGAATTTTTTTCGATACCTTCGTTACTAGGGCGCTGCAGGTGGCGATCAATGTAATTAGGGAATGACTGAATACTTTTTCGATACTTTTATTAAAAGTCTTTAATATTGAAGAATCGTTGTCGTCGCATTTCTCTTCCTCCTCTGAGGCGCGGCGTTTCAATTCTACTCTCTTATCTTAAAATTTATACCAAAGAGAGATTATAATTGTTTCTCCCTGAGATTGGGCGCCAAATTTGAATTATTTTCGGCACCTATATGCAAACAGCTAACGTTTATTGAGTGGGTAAAAGAGATGCTACACAAATCCCGGAGTTGAAGAAAACTTGCATGTACAGTTGAAGTGAGGGTTTTGTCGCAGATGTGTCGTTGGCTAACAAATGTTCGATGAGTAACAAAGTTCCCGTTTTGTCCGCAGCGATGAAGGCGGCGCTGCTGATCCAGCGCTGGTACCGGCGCTCGCTGGCGCGCATGGAGGTGCGGCGCCGGTACACGTGGACCATCTTCCAGGAGATCGAGTACGCCGGCGAGCAGGACCAGATGAAGGTGCGTGTCACGGCCCTCAGCGATGTTTTGCAAGGGTCGCGCTCTTGAGTTATGCATCAGTTTCATATCTAGTGACTTACGTCCCGCAACAGTGTATGCTACCCTAGGCACCGCGATCGTCGATATTTCCAATATAATTTCTGCTACCGCTACTTTCCACTTACCCAATGTCGCTGTCCATTCTCCTCACTACTATACGGTTAAATAAAAAGTTTCAACGAAAAGAAAATACATTGTTTAAATGTTCTGGATGGCTACTCAACCGGCAAACTGTTACGAGCTTCTCGTTCGCGGATAATTTGTTCCGTATTCTTGAACCTCCGATTAATTATACCTAATACCTTCCTCAAGGATTAGCCAACAATTCACATAAAGACATTACTAATTGGGTATTTTAAACAAGTATAAATGTTCCCACTTTATCATCATGCATATCTTTCAAACTCCAGCCAACCTCTCTGAAACAAAATTGACCTCAATAGCAATTCATTACATGATATCCCTTACGAGTTGATACATCAAATTCAATTTTTTTTATTTCGTAACAGTTTCAAATGGTTAATGGAGTAGAGTTTTGATAATCTGAAGTAATCAGGTCTGATGGTACCTCGGATTACAAAAACCTCGAGTTATATGGAGAAAAAGAAACTTCATAAAGGAATTTTAAACTGCAATGTATAAGGAGGTCACATTTAATATGCACATACTAAAAAAATACATGATACATGCATAAATGAATGCGAACAATGGATCACAACAATGGATCAGACAGACAGAATGATCACAATAATGAGTCAAACAGATTGACACTGACACCGACGGCAGCACACGTGACCTTCGATGTAGTGTTGCCAACTCGTCAAGAGCCAGCTGTTGATTATCGCTGCTTGTTAGGTCACTTGGCATATATCAGACCATCCCGGGTCGCATGCTATCTCGGGTAGGCGAGGTGCGAAGTTCCGCGACTCTGCTGTATGTCCAAATGTTCGTCATCACTTTAGAAAATATAATCTGCTCGCAAACTGCCCTATTTAATGAGAGAAAAAGGCTGTTACAAATTGTTGCTTGCCTCCTGTTCATCTTTGGTTATCGTTCAGGCAGTAACAATTTATTTTATTCACTTTAAAATTTGTACAATTATCTATTAGGGTGTTATTATATTTCAATTCTTGCATCTTGAAATACTGTTATTACGTGTTTTTATTATATTTACATTTTAGTACAACTGGAGAAAATTGCCATTGTTGGAAGTTTTTAGTGTGGTAATATGTTGGCTGCATTTGTGCAGCAACTAATCTAAAGGAGAGTAACTTAATTTCCTCAGAGACATTGTCAAAGTTAATGTACACCGCGTTGTACGTTCTATGGAACCATGATTCATGCACCAAATGAGTTAAATGTCAGAGGAAGAGAGATTACTGTTTGACGCCCTTTGCTCGCGGTGTTTGAACGTTTCGCAATTGTGCGGAAGACTGCGCTGTCTGAGATCGGTACAAATGTGTACACGCTGTCATTTGTGATCTTTGAACTTGTGTGAAGACATTTTTTCAATAAGCAACAATGGAGCATTATGAGGGGAAATGGGAATCATAAACACAAATTTGTAATTAAATAAAAATGACAAAAGATGAAATGCATTGTATCTCTTAGGTACTTGCCTGTCCGCGTGTCGGAGGGTTCTGGCACAGGTGAAAACATTTCAGCCGACATTGCTCAGAGCAAAAATGTGTACCCTGAGGGCGAAAATGTTCATCCTGAAAACATTTTCGCTCTGAAGGAGGTCGCAGAATGGCGACCGGACAGCAAAGTACCTATGGAGCCCGGCCGCGGAAGCATACGCTCTCTTTCTGCCTCTTTCCTTTGTTTATTTTCTAAATGTTAGTTATACTTCTAAAACAGGACATTAACATTAATAACAGTTATTTTCATAACTAACAAAAAACGAGTCTTTCGCGTACGATTGAAATGTTGACGAACGTGGCGATATTAGCAACCGAGTGAAATGAGTACGCCAAAACTTTCGTAGGAGTTGCGTACATTTTCTTGTCAGTACGAATTCATGGAAACGTTCAAATATGTGCTCTTGGAATCATTCTTTACTCGCGATGCCACAACCTCATTGATTCATGTGACTGCAGTGTTTTGTTAACTTAACAGTACCCCTTTGTTTTATGCTGCCGTGACTTCTTTATGGTGTGCGTGCGGCAATGTAACACCTTCCAATCGATAAACAGTGAAGGAATGTGCTAGTTTCCTTCCCCGACTGCTGAAAAAAGTATTTCGGAACAAAATATTGGATGCCAGCGATGATGTTTCGGGAATCGTGTTACGCATTCGAGTACACTATTTCCTGAATCGCTTTCTTTTAAATTCGAGAGCTGCGGAGTCGGAGAGGAAGCTGTTGCGGGATGCGTGTCCCCGAGCGCGCTCTCACCCGCTTTGTGAGGCAGCGCAGCGGAGGCGGTGCGATGCGACGCGCGGCTGCGAGGGGCGGAGAGGCGGAGAGGCGGTTCGTGCGCCGGCGGAAGGAGCGTTGGCGGGGGAGGAAAACAAAAGAGTGGCGCGCGGCGAGCGATACTCCGCGGCCGGGAGGCTGGGAGGGGGCAGAGCGAAACCTGAAGCTGAAGCTGGAAGGGGAGAGCGCTGGAGCTCAGAGTGGGAGGGGGGATATCGAGGTGTAGTTGAAGAACGATGTGAAGGAAGCTGCGTATGCGAGACACGAGACTGGTGAGAGGTGATGGCGGGGTGGAGAGGGACGAGAGCTGAGCCCGGGACAACGGACGGTGAAACAGGATTCATTGACCTACGTTTCTGGGCACGTCAACTGCTAGCGTCATAACCCCTTTTAGTGAAGAAAAGAAAGGTATTTCAATCCGGGAATGGCAGTGTTCCTCCCTGCCAGATGTTGAGATTCAGTGCCGACCTACATGTTGTATTGGGGTTTTCCCCTTTTGGGTATCTCCCATGAGCAGGGAACCGCCACACCCGAGCTCTAACAACCCAATAGGTCTTCCGGCGTGGGTGGTAGTTTACAGCAAGTGGGAATAAGTGTGTGTAAGGGATGAATATAGGACAAGGAAGAGAAAGAAATGATCGTGTGCTGTCTGTCACCCAATTCTCCGGGTATTGCCCCGGCATTCGTCTGGTACTGTCTGGTTCGTCTGGTAATTCTTCATCAATTAGACAGCGACTGAATTCGGCGTTGCTGTCTAGGTAGTGGCCGCCACTTCGGGTCTCGAAGCCCAAACCCCCCCGAGACGCTGCAGGGACAACGTCAGCGCCCCGATCCAGCTCAGAGGGCGACGGGCAACGGACGATGGCTGCGCGTGGGCGGAGAGCGGGGGGAGGGGGAGGGGGGGCGGTGTGTGGGGGCGAGGCGGCGGCGGCGGCCGTTATCTCGCCCTTTGTCGTCAGCTGCAGTGGCCGCTTCAGAGCCTGGCTCAACGCCGCCGTCGCCAGATAGCAGGAAATCGGGCAGCCCGCAGGAGGCCGTGCGTCCCTCGGCACCCCGTCGCGAGGCGGCGGTGCGAGGCGTTCGATTTTCTCTGCTCGAGACCTATCTGCGCTCTTCACTCTTCCCCTGTTTTCGTCTCTGCTGCCCGACTTCTTAAAGTGCTGAATTGGAAATTTAAGCTTGCTCTGGGCTTTGTTATACACCTTTATATCTAGGACGTTTCTTGGAGACATTGACATCATACAATTTTTCCTCGCAGCTGACAGAGATTAGTACAAATATATTCGTTAAAACTCCACCCCACCTTCACAGACTCCTCTCTTTTTTCCTCTTCTGAGCTTTCACATTCGTACAACCTCCGTTCACATCCCCGTATTTATACCTCTCCACCTTTTCCTATTACACAATATCTTTAAACTTGTTACTTTCTCCACGCTAGCATTTCCTATTCCTACTTTATCCTTTCTCATTCCTCTCTAGTTTTGTCATCCTCATCATTTCTCCCTCTCCATTTCGATCACCACATGATTTCACTCTCTCTGTTCTCACTCCATTGATTATCCGTTTTTCAACTTCTCTTGCATCCCTAGATCACAGGTCCTTATCTCCTTGATCCTCTTTAAAATCAAAATCCTATATATGTTATCTCCTTGTTTCCCAAGTAGAATATACGTCCCATCTCCTGTTCAACTCCAAACCTCGCTGTCCTATTGCTAATGTTTTCCATCCAGGCTGCATGATTTCTGCATGAAACCTTTTGAGCATATTTGATTTTTTCCATGCAGAACACGTACACTTTGACCTTTGCGCGTGTAGCTGCACAATTGTTGTCGATCGGATTTGTATACGGCGGAATAATTCTTATTTTTCTATTTTGTGGTTAGGTTTGGTGCGATTCGTGGGGATTTTATATATTGCCGTGGTGAATTCGAGTACTCGGATTTTCTGGTCAGTTTATTTTACTGCCTCTTGCAAATGCGAGGTTACTGAATCCCACTTCTGTAGCCGCGACCTCCTCCAATTGAAGCCCCGCTAAAGCCTTCGCAGACAACCATTCTTAAAGTGACAACGATTATGGCCTTGCTATTTGTTCTCCCTATATTCTATTAATATTTAAAAAAGTATTAATGAAGTATCTCAAAACGCACCACAGAAACGTCACGAATGAGTGCACTCAGAGAGCGGGAAATCTTTTCTGTGTCGGCAAAGCCCACGGCCGCGAGTAGTGGTAATTCCATCAGAAAACGTGCAGATCGTGCAAACGCGTCTTTCTACTTCTTTTACTTCCAGTGGGGATCTTGAAGCTTCTATACCTTTTCTCTATGAGAATCTGCGTGAAAACTGTACTGTGTTGAAAGGCTTTTATAGAGGTCATGACACTTTACGTAACTCTCTCGTAACACTCCTCTTTCGTGTTTATGAACTTTCCTCTCTCCTTCTCTTTAATGACTTCCTTAAAAGAAACTTCTCAACGTTTTCAGCACTTCTATACCTCTTGAGGAATGATTTTTTCCTCTTTTCCTTTTCTCTCTCTTTCCTCCTCCCA